GACACACACGCACACACACGCACACACACGCACACACAGGCACACACAGGCACACACAGGCACACACACGCACACACACGCACACACACAACGCTCACACACACACGCACACACACACACACACACACACACACACACACATAGTATATACGACAGACACATTAAAGTGATTGCAATGGTGCACATCTAATTTATCACAAACTTGCATTCTCATATAAATGAAGTATTATTATTTTTACTCGGAAAATACTCTAACGAGTTATTTTAATTATAAGGAATTAGACGCGACATGATAATGATATTAATGTTTGTTGTCTTTCTGAGAATTCAATTTATATTGAACTTGGAAGTTTAAGTGTACGACTTCGCGGTACAAATGGGCCGAATGGCGGTACCTACCCTTGCGGGCTCATATCCGCCATAGCACCACTAGAAGCCTACAAGCGCAGTACAACATTTAGGTTGGGTTGTCGACGCCAAGTTCACAACAAAGTATCGACAAAGTGTTGTCTCAAACACAATAGTACATTGTTTTCCCGCGGTGCACATACTATTTTTCCCGTCATGACTTACGCGAGTGTGGTGTTCGCTCACGCGGCCCGCACACACATAGACACCCTCCAATCTTTACAATCCCGCTTTTACAGGTTAGCCGTCGGAGCTCCGTGGTTCGTGAGGAACGTTGACCTACACGACGACCTGGGCCTCGAATCTATCCAGAAATACATGAAGTCAGCGTCGGAACGGTACTTCGATAAGGCTATGCGTCATGATAATCGCCTTATCGTTGCCGCCGCTGACTACTCCCCGAATCCTGATCACGTAGGAGCCAGTCACCGTCGACGCCCTAGACACGTCCTTACGGATCCATCAGATCCAATAACCTTTGCATTAGACGCCTTCAGCTCTAACACTAGGAGCAGACTTAGGGACCTCGGTAACCGTACTCGTCGAACTCGACAAAGAGTTCGCCGTGCAACCTAACCCATGAATCAGCTCGCTGAGTTTCTCGCCGGATCTTCTCAGCGGGTCGCGATTCCGATCCGGTAGTAGATTCATTCGCGAAGCAGCTACTCTTGAGTTGTTAGGTCTCCTTCGGAGGCGCTCGGGTAGCTGTTNAAAGTAACATTCGATTACTACGAATCGAATATCTTCAAAAAATAATTAATTATAGACAAAAAAGAAGATCGAACCGACCGAGTCGTAAACTACACCGATGAGCCCTATGTCGACTTATCACGATGATGGCGACTCGGGTGATGAAAACAGTGATGATGATAATGGTCAAGATTATGATAACGAAAAAAAATTACAAATACCAGTTTCGCTTCAACTGAACGAAGACCTGGCAACAGCTCTAGTTTTGACTTAATAGAAGGAATATCTATTTTACCCCAAGATTAAATTATTATAATTATTAACCTATATTTTTTGTTGATGTTCTAATAAATATATAAATAAATACATATGTTGATTTCAATAATTTAATTGCATTATGACGCAGAGTAAATAATGTTTTTGCATGTGAGTGTACCATGCGCAAACTTACCCCCACTACGTCAACAAATGCTCAAGAAGTTTGCCGGCTATTATACTACTGGGATGAGAGTAATGGCAAGCGTGGCGCAAATGAGATTGCAACTATTTTACATAAATATATTCAGTCCATTGATGCTAGAAGAAACGTTACGCGATTACTTCTCTATTGCGACTGTTGTCCAGGCCAAAACCGTAACCATATGGTATTAGCAATGTTGCATTCATCATTACAGGAGTGCAAATATATCGACATTATTCATATAAACTTTCTATTGACGAGACACATTTACATGTCGATACCATGCCATTGTAGAGAATCGATCAAAACATACCACTGTTTACGCATCATCACAATGGTTTACAATATTTTCAACAGCTAGGCAAGATTCATCGCCTTTTCAGGTGGAAAGAATGAGCTATGAAGATTTTTATAAATGGGATAGTATTAGTGATAAGTACTTCAAAGGCAACCAAACCGGGAAAATAAGCAATATCCGTGTTATGACTTTCAAAAAATACAAGCAAAGCGTTAAATACAAAACATCTATGAATGCTTCTGCATCATCTTTTGATGTCGAAGTTCAGCCTAAAATCAAGTTATCACTGACATCTTGTTATAGGTCTCAGTTACCCATATCAAAAGCCAAATATGATGATTTGCTCAAACTTTGCACTGAAAAAGTCATCCCTAATTGTCTTAAACAAGAGTTTCTGAGCATTCCACGTGCACGACATTGCACGATTGTGATTGATTAACAAAAAATAACAAGATCTCATGTCGCTTATCTATCGTTTGCCTTTGGAGACTGATTATATTAGGTACAATAGTGTTGTTAAGTTTGGTTATGTTCAATAGCAGAATACAATTTATTATTGTTTTTGTTGTTGATTTACTCTGAAAACTAGAGCTTTTATGAGTTTTAATAATTCTCTATTGTTTTTAAGACTGATGAGGCAATAACTAGATTCTGGTATTATATTGGAATACACTACAATGTGTTATGGTTTATTTATTTAATATTGGCAAAATATTGTATAAAATATAATAGTAATAGCGTGATTTTGTTACAAAAAAATATATCCCTATTGTTTTTTTACAATAAATGTTTATTCATAAACGTCTCGCTCTTTTGGTTTCGCTCTTTTGCATGATTTACCATAGTAATTTATTACATTTTAGTTCAATTCTTTACACTTTCTACATGCTTAAAAAAATGGAATAGTATTTAGATACATTTACTCGATTTGTTGTGAACTATGGGATCACTTTAGTCCAATATACCCAAAACGAAACTGTAAGCTGTGCGAATTTGTCTAACTTTAGATGTTACTGAAAATCTTTCAACGATAGCTCATATTGTTTTACATGTTACTCCAAATCTTTCAATGCTGGCTTAGATAATTTTACTTGTGACCAGAAACCTTTTATATAAAATTCAGATAATTTTACCTGTTTATCAAATTATGGACAATATATATAAGCGACAATAACTGCTATATACACAAATGATAGGCAATAGCCTTTAAGTATATTCGATGGGCAAAAAAAAACGATTTCTAGGTCTGTTAAAATAATTTCAATCCTACAGTTAGATTCGTTAAAATAATATTTTTTTCAGATATTTCAACTTTAAATTGCTCTACTGTAAAGTTCACGCATTGTCGCTTAGTCATGTTTGCCTTTCAAGCGTCGATATCTGTAGTAAATTAGTTCCAAATTTATTGCTGATTCTTGTTAGTGCTTAAAAATGCATTTTGAAATGTTTTTTTTTATTTTACCCTTGTAGGTGGTCGAGCATATAGCCCACCCTATGGTGAGTGGTTACGGTCGTCCATGGACTTCAGCAATGCCAGGGGCAGAACTAAGACACTGCCTACCTATAAGTACTCTCCACAAGCCTCGTTTGTAGAAGAACATTGGATCCTCGGTGAAGAAGCTCAGGAAACACTGTGGAGGGGAGCTTATTCCAAAGCCAGATGGTACGTGGTAAAAAAGATTTCTGGAAACGCACTGCTTAATATCAGGCAAATTGATTTATAAGCATATCCAATAGACTATAATATGTTACTTTTTGCATGATGGTCATACAGGCAAATATGAAATAATTGGGCTTTTCAAATAATAAAATGTGTCTTCAATTGAATTATCAATGGAAATTTCATTTCCTTGAAAATATATAACATAGAAATCAATTGAGTAGTTCTAAGAAATGCCATTTTCGAAGTCTATACGTAGATTAAATTTAAAGAAATAGGTTTTATAGAAAATTTTTGTAAATGTTATTAAAATAATCTTCTGTAATTAAAATTAAAACAAATCATGCATGCACTAAAATAGTATCAACCATATGTTGAATTCTACACCAAAAAATGACACTGGGAAAATTGATACAAAAGTACAAAAACACAATTTCTTGTATTTTTCATTTTTGTGTTATAATTTTCAAATGACCCAAACATAATTAATATAAATCAAGGACTAAGGTAATTTAAAGTAAACAATATATTTTTTTACTTACAGACCGCATTGTGTAATACTGCTCTGGACAATCCCGGAAAATTGACATCACATGACATTGTCAATTACCTTTTGGAATATTATCCTACAGACACACTTTTATTTTATTCTGAGGTTTGTATTTTCAGAGCTCAGCCATTACTACTAATAAACCATATTGTCAGCCCTTTTTTTGCCCTATATTGCTGCCACAAAACACTTATTATATTTCTGGTTTGAAGAATTGGGCAGCTGTTATACAATTGAGACAATGACCTTGTTTCTCAAGGCGGGTGGCAAAATTGAAATGTCTTTTGACTGCGTGTGCAAACCGTTTAGTAACATTTTTAAAAATTTTTTTTTAACATCCAGCTGAATCACAACAATATACTGTTATATAGTTGGAAAACTAAAAAACCAGGATTAAATAAGTGGGCGTAATAAGAATTAGCGATAATTTCTTTAAAAGATCCCTTTGCTTAAACAGATACAAGTGGAACTAACAGAAGTGTGTTAAGAAGTGAATTTTAGCACATAATAAGTGCAACACTTAATAACATAATATCGCTTTTTCGCATTAAAAGTGTACAATTTCCAAAAATCTTCGTAATTGAGTAAATATGCGTAAACATTTGGTATCACTGGTATTTTTCTCATCAATACTGTCAAAAGGCGTAGCTTCGTTTTTTTTTTTTTTTTAGTTTACCTATGTTTTGGCTACTATTAACAAAATTAATACATAACTTTATTTTACTTTAAAAGACAGATAATGTAACTGGTAAAATATAAAAAATAAATGTTGCAACTGTTACTGATTACTGTTAAAAATATTACATATTAAACCTTTAAATTTAAAACACTCTCCTGTAAAATTAGTAAGTTTTGAGATTATACAGTTTTAATGCGAGAAGACGATATGTTCTTGAACAAAATATATGCATTGTTTACTACAACGATTGTTAATTGTTGTGCGCTCTATCTGTCGACCTAAGAAAAAAGGTTATGATTTTTATACTAATTATTTTTTTTCCATAAATTTAGGATGAAGAAGAATTGAGGGATCTTCAAGAAAGAAAATGGACACCAATATTGGACTGGTTTCAAAAGACATTTAATGTCAAACAGGAACTAGCGAATAGTATACAACCACCGCCGGTCTTCACAGAAACTAGAGCTGTGTTAGCTCGGCATTTTCTATCATATGATTTCGCAGCACTGACAGGTAAACCTTTACTCCCAGTATCGTAGCAGTTTGTAAAAAAGAAGGTAGTTGGGAATTTTTTATAGCGTTTTGGAATGTTATTATCTGTTCTCGCGTGTTTCTACTTATTTATTACGCTAACCTTTTTTGTACTGCACGCAATGTAACGTACATTGCAGTGCAGTTCGTATGTGATACGAACATAAAAACAAATTTTGCTATTAGCATTAAAAGTGCTAGCTAGCCGAACAGTTGATATGGAAGACCCGCCGGATGGCGCAGTGCCGTATTGAGTACGAGGTTCGAGGTTTCTTGAAACACCAGCGCACGCCTGAGTTTTTTGACGAACCGCCAATAAACTTTGTATGGGTAGAGAATACTAAGCTGTCTGCGTATATTAGCTATGTGATCAGAGTATAATAGTTCACGAATATTGTAATATATTTAGTTATTAATAAACCAATTGAGACATATAGACAGGAAGTAGTCTAATTTCGTTGTTATTTAACGACATAACCTAATATAGGAAAAAATCGTAAACAGAAATCCCTCGTATAAAACGGGTATTTCCCCATATAATTCGGAAATTCACACTTAATATTATGTCCTTAACTATAATATGAAATTGGCGTTTTGTCGTACTGACCACTTTGATCTGAAATATCTCCTCTTTGGTTAAGAATTCCAAATTCAAGTTTATAAATTCATTTAGCTGGTACATACATGCATTTTAGTTTCGAAAACAGTCATTCATTTGTTTTTTCCTCGTTATTTTTTTCTTTGGCGTCGCTTAATACCGCACAATGGAAAACATGAAATATCGGTATATTTACCAGTGCGAGTTCTACCGTGGCATCAGTGTTGCAGAAACAGCTCGAAGGATTACTGATGGGTATGGCGCTGGTGTCACAAAAGAGAGCACGGTACGTTTTCGGATTCAACGTTTTCGTTCTAGAAATTTCGACCTTCAGAACCAACCCTGTGGGTGGCCGGAGAAAGTGGAAATGAAGAATTAAAGGCTATGGTGGAAGAGGGTCCATCACAAAACACTTTAGGAATAGCTGCAAGCTTCGAGGTTAGTGATAAAATGGGGAAAGTAAAAAAACTTGAACGATGGGTACCTCATGAATTGAGTGAATCGAACTTGCAAACACGCGTCGACTGCTTTGCTCAACCGACACAATAATGAAGGGATTTTAAATCGAATCATTACTTGTGATGAAAAGTGGATACTGTACGATAATCAGAAGCGCTCATCGCAGTGGCTCAACCCTGGGGACCCAGCCAAATCCTACCCTAAACGAAAATTGGCTCAGAAAAAGTTACTTGTGACTGTTTGGTGGACTAGCGCCGGTGTAGTTCACTACAATTTTCTAAAATCTGGCCAAACGATTACGGCAGATATCCATTGTCAGCAACTGCAAGCCATGAAGGAAGAACTAGCTGCTAAAAAACCGAGATTATTTAATCGCTCTAAGCCACTTCTGCTTCACGACAACGCAAGACCACACACTGTACAACAAACATCCACTAAGTTAGATAAGCTACAATTGGAATGTCTGCGACATCCACCATACTGCCCGGATCTTGCTCCAACAGATTACCATTTTTTTCGGTTTTTTTATATATATTTTTTATTGCTTAGATGGGTGGACGAGCTCACAGCCCGCCTGATGTTAAGTGGTTACTGGAGCCCATAGACATCTACAGCGTAAATGCGCCACCCACCTTGGGATATAAGTTTTAAGGTCTCAGTATAGTCACAACGGCCCCACCCTTCAAACCGAAACGGATTACTGCTTCACGGCAGAAATAGGCAGAGTGGTGGTACCTACCAGTGCGAACTCACAAGAGGTCCTACCACCAGTAATTACGCAAATTATAATTTTTGCGGGTTTGATTTTTATTACACGTGCGTATTTCATTAGAAAAATTGGTACCCGCCTGCGAGATTCGAACACCGTTGCACCGGACGTCTTATCCTTTAGACTGCGACGACTTCAATTTAGACAACTTCCTACAAGGACAAAAATTCAACTCCGATGCGGCAGTCCAAACCGCCTTCAAAGAGTTTATTTTCTCGCTCCCATGGTTATTTTAGTAAAGGGATACCTATGAGATGGCAAAAGTGCATAGATATACTTTAATTAAATATATGTTCCAAAAAAAAAAATTACTTTATATTCCTCCCGTACAAAACGCCAATTTCATATGTAAGGACTTAGTATTTCTGAATGTACTCTGAAACTTGTAATGATTTGTACAGTTCATAATCAGTTTCGCGTAACTTTGCACAATGCGTCAATTATGTTGTTATAAAATAAAATAAAATTAATTGCAGTAAAAACATTGGATATAATATGTATTATATTCTATTTGTACATAACGCGCATACAAGCACTAATGCAAGAATACTATCACGCCTTTCTTATAACGCAGATCCAATATATCGTGCTATAGGAGGAAATACTGTATTATCGATATATTCACCTATGATGTATATACAGTGGTGGTCGTTTAATTAGAAACACTACCAACGGTCCTTGACATTATGTAAGATACTTCACCGCAATCGTTTGTATTTAATATTAAACAATAAATAGGACAACCATATGTTGAAAGATTTATCATTTACTAGTGATCCGCCCTCGCTTCACTTCGGAAACTAATTTATTATTGATTTCTCCACTGTTTAATGGATGTTATTTTACATATAAACCTTCCACTTCAATCACTCTTATCTATTAAAAAAACCGCATCAAAATCCGTTGCGTAGTTTTAAAGATTTAAGCATACATAGAGGGATATAGGGACAGAGAAAGCGACTTTGTTTTATACTATGTAGTGATTAGAAAAACAATAGAAATCCCACTACGCAAATGCAGTTTCAATATTACATCACGGACAAACATTTAAATCAGTTTTAAAGTATGAACTATAATGGTCAACTAATTAGAAAAACCAACAAAAAAGTTTAAAAAACAATATTTTCTGAAGTGTTGGTAATTAGTATTGTTATTTACGAAATAGCTACTATCCACAGCCTACCAATAGTTAAAATTAATATTTAGTGGCGTATCCCATAATTTCAATAACAACACTACAACGACGTGGCATTGATTCAATCAATTTCATACATTTTTCTATGGGGATTGAATTCCATGCTTCAACAAATGCTTCAAATAGTTCGTTTTGACTGGTGCTACGTTTGTTTGATACTTTCTTTTTAACAATATACCAGAGATTTTCTTTCGGATTTAAATCCGGACTATTAGCTGGCCAGTCCAAATCGGATATACACTGTTCGCTAAGGAAATGTTTGACGCCGTGTGTTTAGGGTCATTATCATGCTGAAAGATCCAAGTTACAGGCAAATGAGCGTTCGAGTAAGGAATCATTGTGTGCTTTAAGATATTTTTGTATTGCCGTTGATCCATTGTACCTTCAATCTTCCGAACGGGTCCAATCCTACATCCGGAAAAACACCTTTAAATTGTTACCGCCACCGTGCTTGACTATACTCCTTGTGTATTTATAATTAAAAGCATTGTTTACAGGACGTCTAACATCGCGCTTTCCATCGGAATTTACCATATTTATTTTTATTTCATCTTAAAATAGCACTTTTTTCACCGTACCGTCCAATTAATATATATTTTTAGCGAATAATAATCGCTTCTGTCGGTGTTGCTTGGTAAGAAGCGGCGCCTTTCGAGAGCTTCTTCCAAACAATTTAGCTTCCACTAATCTGCGGCGTATCAGTATCTGGGCTAGATGTTTCTCGGGTCATCAGGCGAAAAAACTTCATTTTTAATCTGGTTGGAGCCTTCAATAGGGTATTTTTAGTAAGATGAACGATTAGAGTATCTTCTCTGGGAGAGTTTTTCTTGGCCTAAGAACATTTTTAACAGCGGTAGGCAGCGGCTTGGCTCTGCCCTTGGCATTGCTGAAGTCCATGGGCGACGGTAACCACTCACCATCAGGTGGGCCGTATGCTCGTCTGCCTACAAAGGCAATAAAAAAATAAAATAAAAAAATAATGTTCCACGTGTTGTTTCTTAACAGAACAATTTCGATGCTCAGCTATTCTTCTTTATACCTACTTATGATCTATATATAAATTAACAATGGTTTGCCTAGTTGACGCGTCACAACTTTTATTTTTGCCCATTTTGAACAAAATAAAATAAAATTCAGTTTAAATTTTGAATTGCCGCCAAAATAATAGAAAAAGCTAAGAAGGCAATGTTATTCTCCAATTTCAAAAAAAAGAACGAGCTATGAATGCTTTTTTTGAAATGTTTCTAATTAGGCGTCTAAGCGGTCAGTAATAGAAAATAAACTGCTACACGTGTAACTCATTTTGTAATTAAAACTAACTTATATGTTTTATATTTTATGCATTTAATGATTTTTTTATTTGAGGACTATATTATTGCATGATTATTAATTATTATTGAATGTGTATATTTTTTACGAACATTTGTACGTTGAAGATATACTTTCTTTATTCATAAGAAGTGTTTCTAATTATATGACCACCACTGTATGTATAAAGTGTGTTAGTTATAAAAGACTATACCATAACGGATTTTAATTTATTATCGGCAGCAATAAATTTCGGTGTCGAGGCATTAAAGTCACCGATCTTAATGTTGGCGTGTATGGAGCGCCGCGTTGTACCCGAGGAAGCTGTATTGTTAGCAAGACTTGAAGAAGAATATCAGGTTGTCTTTGTTATTTATTGCTTCCTTATTAGAGCATTTTAGTAATTTTGAAAATTGCGAATCCCTGCACATCCTTACATTTTTTAGCTTTGGTATCCACTTCTTGCAATCTTTTTGATAAATGAGATCAAAACGAAAATAAATGAGGGAAATCATCATCTTCATCGAATATAAGGTACCCACTACAGGACATAGTTCTGCCTTAAAAACCTATGCTGAAGTCGTTTTGCTATTTTTTTCTCCTACATATGCTGATGGCCTTGAGAGGCTATTTCAGCTTCGCCTTGACGTGTAGGTGAGCTCACGGGGTTCAAACCGGGAGTATTGCTAACACTGGCCCTAGCAAGAGCAGTGCTTGGCAGAATCTACCACCGGATCGGAAAGGCGATCCACTGAGAAAATCCGGCGAGAAGCTCAGTGGGCTGTGTCTATGGGTTAATTTAGTCGTCAATCCCTTCGTCGCAAGCGACGGTTTCGGTGAGAACGGTGACCGGTGCTTAAGGTACTTAAAAGCACCGATAATGGATCGGGAGGATCCGTAATGACGTGTTTAGGACCGTTTTACTATAATGGTGATGCTTGGCGTGTGTTTCGGTGGTCGCATTAATATTTCTATAGGAAATACTCTGAGAACGCTCTCCATTCTAGGCCGAATACTTTAGACGCCTTTTACGGCACCTGTGGGAAGAGATGCGGTGATTTTATTTTAGGCCGTGCGTTTAGGCAATTGTTTAACAAATGAATTTTCTAGAATAAAACAACACCGGTCCGAGATTAACTGAGACAATGGGTTAATTGATAAATTGCGTCGTGTCACAGCTGGAGCGCTGGGGCCGCGTGCCGTGGGCGCACGGGCTGAGCCAGGCCGACCTGACGGCGCGCGTGTCCGCCGCCCTGCTCCTCGTACACTGCGCTACTGAGAAACATGCCATCAAAACTAAATCTGCCCAAGATTCACAATGAGGTCAATACAACGATACGCGATTCCCGTATGTCGTCTAGTCGAATTATATAAGTTACCGTTTATGAAATGGATAATAAATGTTTAAAATTGGACACAAAGCTTTTTATTTGACAGCAATGTACGTTAAATTAGCAAAAGGAAACCTATTAAATGTGAAATTGTAATAAACGTAATAGAGGTTTTATAGAAGAAGCGTTTTTAGTAAAGAGATAATAATGCGAGAATCATTAGGAGACAAAGTTTCGTTAAAACTCAAGAGTGAAATGAAAATAGCAGAACGAAGTCGCAAACTGCTAAATTTAGCCGCGCGAGGACGGCGCGGCCGCCCGCCTCGCGCCCCGGCCCCGCTTTTTTCAATCGGATCCCAGCGCTGCCCGGTCCACTACACTACACTGATTTTAATTGCGAACGAACGCTTTTCCATGTGTTTACACTTGCCGTTTTAGCTTCGACATTGTATCATCGTGTCATAAGTTTAATTAAAAAAAGCAAAAAGTCTCGAGTACTGAAATGTGAAAACATTAACTGGGATGTTCTAGTTAGCGATCCGGGACCGCGAGTCGCTGATTCATTTGTTAGAACGTAAGTGCTTAACATATTTTCGATATAATTATATTGTTTGTACAGTTGCCGTGATTCACTTCATAAACAATGCCTTTAAACTACTTTTAAACCCGCAATTTGTCTATGTTCTCCTTGTACTGACCTACATTTTTATTTATTTGTAAAAGTTATCTTAAAATAGTTTCGTGGTTTGAAAAATTCTAATTCTCATCCAAAATCTAATTTAGCAAATAAAAGGTTTCTCGAACAGGAAATAATAACTAATCAATATTATAAATAAAACTAAATAATAAAGGTATTATGAAATAACATTTCATTTCGATTCCCGATAATTTGGAAATTAATTCTACTCACAAGATTATCCGGTAAGTAATAAATGTTTAATAATATTTAAACCGCGGAAATGCAAATCTCCGTAACGATCGGTTGTAGGGTCGTTTGTTAACTTGCATGGATAGGTATCGCTGTCTTGTCTATTCCTGCGACGCAGCATCGACGTTTTCCAATTTAAAAGGCGGAAAAAAACAATTGAGACAAAAACCTCGTGTCTCAAGACGGGCGCTGCTTCCGGCGACCACATCATGTTGATGGCGAGCTCTCCCCATCAATATGAATAAATAGTAGTTTTTCATTTATTGATAATCGCAACTAAAAACTGCACAACAACAATAAAATAAATGTTCATTTCATTCTAACAGAAACTAGTCGACGCTTTATTATATTGAAGTTATTCTTTGAAGGGGAAAGATAGTTTTTGTCACGAAACTCCCTTCCGTAATAATAATGATTACCATTAATTTACCAAACCAATTTACTATTAATTTTATCAAAAATCTAATGTTAAATCAACAGAAATAGAAAGTCCAAAACGGCTTTATCAAATTTAAAGAGAAAGCGAAAATAAATAAAATTCATATTAATTAAATTGTATGTATTGCAGGGGTAATGAGTGGAGACGTAGATGCGCATCGTCCTCGTCCCTTGTCCGGGGGATTGTGGTCACTGCTTTCCTGGCTCCGACGTGACGATCCTTCTTTGTCAATTGAAAGTTTGTCAAGTATAGGATCTGATAGAACCACCGCTAGTTTTGCTTTTTTAACTCCCGAGCACTATCGTATAGGAAAGAAGCCAACAGTCCTACCACCACCTGGACCTCCCACCGATTCGTATAAAAGGAGAGTTCATGATCGCAATTTGAGATTTAAACATGATTACAATCTAACGCTACATCGTAAATACGGACTTCACAAGAGTCAAGAGAGTTTAGGATACGACACGTTTAGCCTTCCACCTTATAAGAAATCAGACAATCTAAGCAACGCCGGAAGAGACCGCAGGGCTGCTAGCGAGGGCTTACATCGCCGTGCCGTGCACGTACCAGGGAAGAGACGCGCGCCTCCACCTCCAATACGAGCTTCATCCCTGGGTCCTTCAACATCACTCACTAGAAAGTCCAGAAAACGACCAGCACCTTTACCACCGCCTATCGCCTTTACAACGATAGACAAAATAAAGACTGATAAAAAAGTCAACTCTGAACCATCGATGAATACTAATTCAGAAAATGATGTGAAATTATTGAAAGCGAATATCAATTTAATGGAATTGAAATCTCAAAAACATAGCAAAACAGAAAGTAATGTAAAAGAAACTCGCCCACGGTCGGAGAAGAATTTTTTAAAACACATATTCGAAAGCAAAAAGAGGCATTCCGTTGAAACAGCTTCCATTAGACTATTACCTAGTATCAGCGAGTTGGACAAGCAAGCCGCTGAAATAATTAAGAATGACAAACTAAAAGGGTCTCAAAACTGTTCAGATGAAACATCGTTACAAACTTCCGGCGATGACATGTGGATATGTACCATTTGTTTTAGAAAATACAAGGCGTCAACTCCCATATGTATTAATTGCCCAGCTCCAAAAAATACCATAAATACACATTCTACTGCACTAGAAGGATCCAAAAAGGTTATTCCTAATGCTTCCGATATATACACACAAACAGATTATGATATTAAACCATCATGTAGTAAAAATAATAAAAGCGATGAAAGGCAAAAGCTAAAAGAAATGTTGAAAGAAATGAAAGATTCTCTTCCAAAGAAAATGAAATATAACCATGATAATCAATTGCCAAACAACATTTCTGTAGAAAAATTAAATGGAACAGACTTAAGTACCACCACTCCAACTTTGCGCATAGGTACTTCAAACGAAAAACTTGCAACTTCAACTAAACCTGAAACAATACAAGAAACAAAAAAAGAAATACAATCGATAGTAATACCCACAATTCGAACAATACATCAGTCAGAGTTACCTTGTACAAGTCAAAAACTGCTGGGTGATGATCTGAAACAAACAAACAATGTTAAAAACACAGAAAATCTTGCGACACCTATATTTAAAGAAATAATACCAAAAAATGTTGTCACTCACCAATTTGATTTGAATACCCCGCTAAAAATTTCTTCGCTGTTAAATCCTGTAAATGTAACAAAATCCGAGAACATTGCGGTAACATCAAAAGAGTTACAAAATGATAAAGTTACAAAAAGTACACAGAGCGAAAGACTCCTGAAAACACTAAATAATGCAGCTAAAGAGGACGTAAAATCAGCTTTGGAACAACGCTCTGAATCTGTAAAAGTAGAGGGCACTCGAAATCATTTAAAAATTTCAAAAGAAACGTTGATAGAGCCCAAAGTTTTTCGTAATGATATGAAAAATATTGAAAAAGGATTGCACGATTCAAATAAAAAAAATATTCAGAAAACTATCAATGAAAATGATAAAGAAACTCCAGTTCCTTCAACCAGTGCGGTCGCTTCAACATCCAGTAACTTTAGTAATAATATTAAACACGTTGAAAATATAAATCACCATTTGAAGCGGCGTGAACTTATTAATCAACTCGAAAAATCAATAGCGAACGGAGATGAACAAGCAGCGGCGGATGCTGCAGCCAAATTAGCTCAGTTACGACTATCGTGCTCTGTTTTATCTTTTTCTTCTCAAATATTTAGTGAGTCCAGAAACTTAAATCCAAACTGCACCGGAGTAGTAACAATTCCTGTTGTTAATGATGCCAATGGGCAAGATAAAAAGGATAATCTGCCCTCTCCATTCGAACTTAAATCTACAGTCGCCAACAACAAACAATTAATTAAAGAAAAACAATCCGAACCCGTTAATGAGACAACTGCACGAAACACGCAAAATGTTGGAAAAGGAATTGAAAAACCATTATGTACAGCAGCAAATCCCAACGAAAGCAAAGTTATGTAAGTAAGCATTTTGATTATAAACTACAAAAAATTAAAAAATATATATGTGACGATTGACCTTGCATTAAGTAGATGTTGTACAAATGACCTGTGATATTAATATTAATTGCATGTGAGGTGAGGTAAGATAATTACGTTGCGAATGAAGACTAATAAAACGTAAAAGAAACCTATTAACCTTTAGTACCGAGATTGGCAGTGAAAATTCAGTCCAATTAGGTGGTTACGGGATTTTTATTATTTTTAGAATAAAGGTGTGGGTTGAAGACCGAGAAGCAACCCGTGGACCAATTAACTTAAACATCGGAAAGAGAAATGTTTTGGCTGATTTGCGTCGAGAAGCTGAGAAGTCCCTCGGTATCCCTACTAATTTGCAACGTTGGATCATTGGACGGACCCTATGCAGCGATAATAATACTCCGCTTTACACTTTAGCTGGCCCAGAGCTTAAGGCTCCTTTTTATTTATGTTTAGTAAAGTCAGGTAAGTGATTTTGTCTTAATTGGTCGAACTAAATTTTATCATGGCTGCTTCTGTAGAACCCTCGTGCAAGTAACCTTAAAACTTCAGTTAAGTAACATTGAATAGTTTTTCACAAACTCAGTAGTCACGTAGTATTTACAAATGAATTACAAACGTAAAATAAATTACGGAATTTATGGTAAACGCTGCTTTATAATACCTGATATTATGGTTATTAGTGGAGTGATATCTTTAAAATAAAAATTACCCCTTGAATTTATGCAGAAATAAAGCTTACTTCCTTGTTCAGTTGTTGTTTCGTTTATACCCATCATCAATGACCATGTATATGCATAAATGAATATCTTGGTGATAATAATAAAGTAAAATAGAACTATGTTCTAGAAATATATTTAAAAATTCAAACGATGACGGCTCAGTCACGGTTTTAATCATTACAACTGCCTAACACGAATATTGATTTCTTCTTGAATATAGAGAACATCACGGACACCAAACGAGTATAAACTACTATCCTAACGTAAATGGAAATCAATATTCATGTACTGAACCAATCATAAAAAATACGTCGTATTAATTAGGATCCAGCACGACAGTCCCGTGTTCATTCGGGAACTAAAAGTCAGTATAAAATTGAAAAAATCATTCCTAAATAATAATTTTTAGAACGTGATTTGCTCTTGTGCTATCTTATTGAGAATCACAACTTCGACAAGTTGCGTCAGTTTTCAAGCCATCTCCGATAATTCCGGTAAATATAATTTCAGAAACGAAAACATCTACAGAATTAAAAAACGATAAGACGGAAACTTCCACAACCAAGAAAGAAGTTCACGAATCAGTCAATGTATACAATGAGTTAGTGCAACTCGAACAACAGGCGTTGATAGCGAACACAGAAAAATTCGAATGTGGTGTTTGTTTGGAAGAATGTGCTCCAGGGAATGGTGTAATATTGCGAGAGTGTGTACACTCGTTTTGTCGAGAATGCTTAACAGACATCGTACGTCATAGCGAAGAACCGGACGTTTCATGTCCGGCGGTGGCTTGTCGCAGTTTACTACAAGAGCGTGAAATCCGCACGTTAGTATCCTCGGAAGATTATGAAAAGTGGTTGGCTCGCGGTTTAGCCGCGGCAGAGAATGGCACGCGGAACTCATTCCACTGTCGTACAAGAGACTGCACGGGATGGGCTCTCTGCGAGCCGGGCGTGCGGCATTTTCCGTGTCCTGTGTGCAAAAAAATCAACTGCGTACCTTGTCAGGTACGTTCTATTATGAAGTGCTCAGCTCAGAACTTTGTTATTCATATTCTATATTGTGTAAATCTAACAAGAAACCACTCCTCTGCAAAAAAAAATCGTCTTAATGAACTTGTCAATTTTTACATATTTGCAGAGTATTCATGAAGGCGAGACATGCGAACAACATCGAGTCAAGCTGGAGTCTATATCGAATGCCAATCCTGACCACACAGACGACAGTACAAGAGCTTTACTTTTAAATTTAATAAAGAAAGGCGAAGCTTTGGAATGTCCGGAATGCAAGGCTATTATTACGAAGAAATGGGGATGCGATTGGGTCAAGTGTTCAGCATGCAAAACAGAAATATGTTGGGTAACTCGCGGCCGACGGTGGGGCCAGGCGGGGCGTGGCGACACAAGCGGCGGCTGCCGTTGTGGCGTTGATGGGAAAAGATGCCATCCATCATGTGGATATTGTCATTAAATGTTGATCATAACAGTCTGTCCGATTATTAATTTTATTAGAATGTATGGTATGCTGGCTCGCTCTACTAGTGCTAATTAGGACATCTGTGGCTCGTATTAAAGCCGCTATTGTTGTGTAGCTCTATTTGCCTGCCTTCGTGTCTATGTTTCCGCTGAAGTACACGCGGCCGGGTTGATGTTAATACCCCAGTTCTTGACTTCAACTAAGCTCATGCATCGCGGCTCGCTTATAAAAAAATGTACATTGATGATTATGTACAAAATAATGTATACATTATAGATAAACATTCAAATCCCAGAACATATTTCCATCAATCAAAATATTATTTACTTCAGCTTTTAAAAATTACAAGACTTCATGAACAATGGGCGAGTGACTTCGTCTGCCCACCTAAAGGCCTAGAGCACACGCTCATGGTTTTTCATCCCAGTTTATTCGGTACAACATTAATATAGGTACATAAATTACACAATAACACAATAATCTTCTTCTTTGTCTCCACCTTATCCTACTAGGTAAGGTCGGTACAGCGAATTTTTTTATTCAATTCTCTTTCTTTCTCTATCAGCAGTCATCTCAACACTCACTCCTCTCTCTTATCGTCATTCACACACTCCATCCACGTCTTCTTCGGTCGACCTCTTTCTTCTCTCAATAACACAATAATAAGGTTTACTAAAATTAACTCAAAATTTAATCTACTTGGTTGTTAGCGAATACTATATATTACGATACCTACTTGTCTTTTGAAGTCGTCGTGGCCTAAGGGATAAGATATTCGGTGAATTCGTGTTGAGCGATGCAACGGTATTCGAATCCCAGCCGGTACCAATTTTTCTATTGAATTACGTATTCAGCAAATGTTCACGATTGACTTCCATGGTGAAGGAATAACATCGTGTAATAAAAATGAAACCCGCAAAATTATAACTTGCGTAATTACTGGTGGCAGGACCTCTTGTGAATCCACCACCGCCCTGGATACCACCGCCCTGCCTGTTTCTGCCGTGAAGCAGTAATGCGTTTCGGTTTGAAGGGTGGGGCAGCCGTTGTAACTATACTGAGATCTTAGAACTTATATCTCAAGGTGGATGGCGCATTTACATTGTAGATGTCTATGGGCTTCAGTAACCACTTAGCACCAAGTGGGCTGTGAGCTCGCCCACCCATCTAAGCAATAAAAAAACCAATTTTAGTTACTAATTAGTAAAAAAAAAGTTAAATTATACTTATTAGATATATACTATTAAAGTATACTGTTCTATAGATATAGGGATATATGTATCTATCTCATATAGGTACGATAACATTGAACATTGATCAACTATGAAATGGCTAAATTTATATATTTTTTACGTTTTTTATTAATTTGTGTAATTGCAAAAACTTTTATTCACCGGTTTCAATAAACTGTTATATGGAGCTTGTGCTCATATATCAGTTGGAGCAATACTGCTCACCGCTCACTGCGAGCCAAGCGTGTTGGGCACTGTTGGGTAACGTCTTTTATGGTATAAATAGTTCATCTAGCAAATTATCACAATCAAATCTGTTATGATATGAATCAATTGCATTTCGTCTTTAAGCTATCTTCTGAAATCATATTTTTATCAACGATTTCATTTACGATCTATTGCTACACGAACTTAGTATTGTCAACGAAATAAAATTTAAAGAAAATCATTTTTTTTTAGTCTTTAAACTACAGAGAGGACATTGCAATACATAAAATGAGTTAAATAATTGGGGATGTAGAAGTGATAAATGATAATGCGGATGTTGATCGATGGACGAACAGTAGTAAATAAAAATAAACAATATACATAATGATAATGAACGTTATTATTTGAAAATGAAATTGTAAGTGTTAAAGCTATAATTGAAATAAAATAGATAATTTTTAGAATGTAACAACTTGCGTTCGATGGACTTCATTTGTTCAATTTAATAGAACGGGGGCCAAATGGAAGCAGTGTGAGATAAAGTAACTGTGATTTTACTAACGGATTATATAGAAGCAAGTAGTAAAAATAATTTGTGCATCAAAACCCATAGAAGAATCATGATTATCGGACTCTCTAAGATGAAAAAATTTTAGATTAGGAAGTAACTTTAAGCTACTTATTTTGTAACTGCGGCACACATAAAACAGGAAAAATATTGTTACCATTTGCCTGTTAGTTTTTGTAACTAGGCTAGCTAGGTAGCTGCCTTACATATATACATCAAATATTTTCTACCATCATAATGTAATTTATGACTATTTAATAAATAATTAAAATGAAATGTTTTATTATTGCAATTAAAAAAGTTCACGTACTTACTGCAGTATGATGGAACACCGAGTCTCTAAAACTAGATATTCACTAAATACTTTGTGATTTTCTATACTAAAAGTTTTGCTATGCAGTCCTGGTCGTTCATAAGAATTGTTTTCATTTCGAATAGTACTTTGACAGGATATTTCATGTGTAATATGTAGTTTTAGTTGTAGGGGTAGGGGTTTAATGAATAATATGCATTACATATTGAGTTTGCACACAGATATAGCCATCCCTCCCAATTCTAAATCAATGCAGCTTAGCATTTCAGTTCAAAAGGTAGCAAAGCCATTATACTATAGAATTGGGACTTAGAGCACAAGTTTTTAGGTTGGTATGTCTATGGGCTTTGGTATCTAATCACTTAAAATCAAGTACAATGATATGCAGGATGCAAGAGTGTGATTTTCCCTCCACAATTCCAAATGGTTTTTCTTTTAGAATGAACAAGTTCTTTTAGTTTCTTTCACTGTCTGTTACCACTCTTCAATTCAGAACGCCCAACTCTCAACATTGAGGGTGAATTGTTTAGCAGCAGTAACTCAGGAATTAAAGATCTAAAATAAACTAAAAATTATTTAATATAGTAATTCTATTGTGCACCAATTTAAAATTTTCATAATAGTATCTATGGCATTATTATATTTACAGATTTGAAAGCATTACTAGAAACTTTGATTTAAAGATAAATGTTATGAAACTGAAAATTGGCAGTCATAGAACAGCACTGCTCTATTGGGAATAGATATTTGTTAATTTTGTAAGACCAGCATTATGAAAATACAACTTCAGTTGCTGAAGGACTTCATATCTCAGATGGCCTGCAGTAAATTTATATTAGTCTCATTAAATAGGCAGAGAACTTGAGGAAAAGCCTATATCCAGTAGCAAATATCAGTGGGCAAGTGTCAATATTCATAGTTATAGATCTCAATTACATTTGAAACAACTTATAAACATAACAAAAGTTACAAAATTAGTAATTTGTTTTATATATTACTATTGGCAGTAACGAATGTCTTGGGCCTCTATATACAACAATCCTGCAAGCCTTATGGAATGATTAACTGGTTTGAAAAATAGGGAGCGAATGTGTAAAACAATTTCATATTAAGCCTCATATATTGTATAATTTTCCTTGAGTTGATAAAGATCAGTTTATTTTTTATTGCTTAGACTGGTAAACAAGGTCACAGTCTACCTGGTGTAAAGCAATTACTGGAACCTGACACCAACAATGTAAATGCCACCACCTACTTTGAGACACAAGTTCGAAGTCTGAATCCCTACACTAGTAGCTGCAGCATCAGTAATCATCAACAAATTTCATTAATGTAAAAGCTTTCCAATTAACACAATAAAAAAAGAGAAAATAGACTGGCAATTTAAATCAGTAGTTTGTTTATTTTGACCTGGACTCACTTTACAAGACAGCATGTCCACCATAGTACAAATTTCATGTTTCATACACAAAATCAGAGGATATTCTCAACTTTTGATACAGCACTGTTTTTAATAATATAAATCACAAATCACTGCACTGCACTTAAACTAATAGCGTCGCATTCCTGGAGGACCCCGTCCTGGCCCACCACGACCCATGCCAGGAGGAGCTCCCATCATTCCTGGAGGAGGGCCACCCATCATGGGGCCTCCTCGCATTTGAGGAGGAGCAGAAAGTTGACCACGATTTCCTGGTGCCATGTGTTGTTGAGATGGCCCGCCTACTCCTCTGGCAGGACCTTGAAGACCCGGAGGTACTCCGCCCGGGCCAGTGCCTCTACCAGCAGCACGAGCACTTCCAGGCCCGCCCATAGCTCCCGGTAAGGGAACACGAGGCAATCCTTCTTCTGGTGGAGGTGGTCCTTCGATTGTTAATGAAACTATATTTTCTCCACGTAAAAGAACAAAACCCAAAGTTCTTTTTTCTTCTCTGTCTGCAGTTTTACTATTTTTAGATTTAATTTTTCTGAATTCTTCGCAATCACCTAATATTAAATTCATGTGTTTATCAAAAGCTTTAAAAGTTCCAATAAATGTACGAGAGTCTTGTAATATAACCCTTACTCTATAATTAATATGCTGTTGCATCTTATTGTTTTTGCCGATCGTCTGAAACAAATTTAAGATCTAAATATACTTTGTTCTTATGCATTATAAAAATATTTATAATATATAAGCGGAAAAGCCGGTCTGGGTAAAAATGAAGTCGGCGTCCCTTGAGTTTCCTGTTCTATAAAGATATGTTTGTTGTTGTTGATAATAAACACATTGAAAGATTTAAGTAATGTAAATAATATTTTAAATTATATATCATACCATTTTATCGGAGTGATTAGGAAGATATTACTAGATATTTGGAAAGCTTCAATTTGCTTCAGGGATATTCACTTGACAGTTGCCTTTGAGCACAGTACACAGAGACGCGCAGAGTAGGATACAAAAGCTGAAGGCGCGACGCGGGACGCAGCAAAACATCAAAACAGTGACAATTAAGGGTTGCCAGCTATCAGCCTACTGTAATCTATGGCTGTCAAAGTTGATTTCTCCCATAGACTTTTTGGCGGGAACGCGAGGAGTGAAGTTGTGAGATTTGTTTTATTTTGTCTATTTAGTTTTTCCTTAGGTTTAAATGTGTAATAACGGTGGTTTATTAATTGTTTAATATCTGTGCACAAATGTGGGAAAATCCGCTGGATGTAACTTCTCGGGATCGGAGGATCCCGAGAAAAAGCCCTCTGAAAAAGTCTCAGTAAATAACCACCATTTTACTGAGATTATATTTCATCCCATATCATCTCATCTCATTTCATTTAATTTCAGCTCAGTTGATTAATGTCTCAAATTAATCATCTTCATTTCATTTTACTCCATATTATCATTTTTCATAAAACTAAGAATATAAGTTAAAATAAGACGACCTAAAAGTCTTAGTTACCAGGTCATAAAATCCCTTTAAAAAAAATCTCCCATAGAGTTTAGTATATCTCCACGATTTCTCCCCAAAATCAGGCAAAAGAAAAAAGAGCATAGCTACTCTATATTCATTCAACAAAAATCTTTTAAATTAAAGCCTACTCCATGTTTGTTTTACGAAATGTGAATTTGTTTATAACGACGTTTAATTGAACTTGTAATAATTTTTAAAGAAAGAAATTGAATGAAACAAAATGAGTTTGCTGAAACTTCAGTAGATTTTTGGAGGAGTTTGATCAGCCACGACTGGG